CACACACACACACACACACACACACACACACACACACACACACACACTGCAGGTAAACAGCAAGACATTCAAAAACGTCAACAAATGGTAACACACAGGGTCTGAAATGATGTTCTTTTGCAGCCAGGTATGAGTATTTTATCTGTCTGAAGGAATAACATTTTAGATCTGATGTGATTCAATGTTTTATATATTTTGCGCAAAAACCATCACAAAATCACGATTTACGATCGCAATGATACACATTTTTAACGAATTGATCTTGATAATGTAACAAAATGCAACCTCCGTTAACGTTAGCTATTAGCTCAGTTATTTAGCCAAGCAGCACTGTGCTGCCCACTGGCTGCTAACAGCTAACGCTAACTGACTCTCCTGACGATTTCAACAGGGATTTGTTGTTCACAAAGTAGCATTATCAATAGTGTGCGTCCCCTGAGGTTTATTCTGCTTTGGAGGGTTTTATTCTCTCCGCCGTGGCTCCGTCCACAAACAAACTGAAATATGATACAGCATGCGTATGGCCTGACAATTTCACCGCCACTGGCAACTATTTGTGCTGATTTCATATATTGGAAACGCACACAAACAGCATCTATCGGCCGTTTAGCAGCAGCTCATAACACAACACAGTTCCCTCCGGTTAATTTGTCAGACTGAACATTCAAATTTGACACAAAAGGCTCATAAGCATGCATCCTCTCTCTCTCTCTCTCTCTCTCTCTCTCTCTCTCTCATATACACACACACACACACACACACCTAAGTGAAAACACACACGCAGAAACCTTTGAAAATACACAAATCCATCTGGCAACCGAAACACTCAGATAAACACGCATAAAGCATAAATTTACACTAAGCAAAGACCAATGTAGTATTTCGGGCATCTATCTCAGCACCGATTATGCAGAAACAACCAATGCATCTATTGATATGTACATATTGATCATAATGTAAATATAATGACATGCAAAGGATGCTTGCAGCACGCAGCCAATTTTATCCAGCTTTTGCTCCCCATGAAATGTGTTTATTAATATTATCTTTATAAAGCTGGGACTGCGGGACTGTAGATTTCTGGATATTTTTCTTCATCCACTGTAGAAGCTACAACACCACAGAGGAAGACTGTCGCCTCACAACAGAGGAAGGTGTTGAGGCAGGACAGGCCAAGGACACGAGCAGGTGTAAAGAAACACTATTAATGGCCGTGTAAAAAAAAAAGAAATGCTGGGAAAAACCAGTGGTGTATTTTAGTGTGATGCGTCAAAGTGTACCTCACAAATAGGAAACAGGAAATAATTGGGGAGGCGCCATTGTGTGTCCAGCAATGTTACCATCCATGTTTACTAGCTGGCCGTCTTCTTTGCTTCCTTTGCTGAGAATCTTTGGCGGTTTATGGCCCTCTGATGATCACGAGAGTTGCTGCTGGTGTTTTCTGGACTTCTGGATCACTTTTGGTGCCCAAATATACCAGTTACATTTTCCACACTCTCAGCCAGCAGAGAAGTTTACAACCATTTTAAGATACATGGCAAACTAAGCTAGACGGCTAATAACACCAAAAGCTACTTGAGGAGCAGCTGATGCTGTGCGGCTTGTTAGCCCTACAGAAATAAACAAAGAAACGTTAGCTGTAACCCTTTCTTGCTAATGGTAATCATGTCATCTTACAAATATGTCAGCAACCTTAAAATCTGTACTTTTCTAAATCTCTAACATTACCAGAGACGTGGTAACGAACACTAACGTTAGCAATACGTTAGCTAGTTGTTAGCTTGTATTTTGCTAACCGAAGATGTGACTCTATAAATAAATATATATGTCCGTGAAGATTGAGACACCAATGCAATGTGACTTTACATAGTTATGTTAGCTTCTTGTCAACATAAACAAGCTTAGCACGTAGCTTAGCATATCTAAGTGTTTATATTTAGGTAAAGTTGAGGTTCTGTCGGGTTCCAAGCTTTCAAAAGCAAACTGTTATTGGAGCCTGCTGGGAAAATGTAGCGTCAGACTTGATTCATTGATGTTCAGAGAACATCTTTGGTCCACACTCACTTTCACTCAACTAAGCTAACAAGTCTATTTTCTTTCCCATTTATAATTTGATCTTTTTAACGTCGTCTGTGTGTGAAATGTGTGTTTTTGCGACAACCTGCAAGTTCTCCCACCGCAACAAGAGCAGTCCAAGTCGTGCGACCTGTGCTATCGTAGATAGCAGCTGCAGAGGCGGAAACCAGAAAAACAGCTTCCAATACACAAACCACAGATGAAGAGCGGCTGAGCTGGACTGACCTCTCTGTGGGAAAGATAATCACTACCAGTGGCAAGGCTTCTCTCTCTACAAACAAGGAATTTCCCTTCTGACAAAGTGTTTGTACTCCCACTTTCTAATGCAGAAGAACATTCTACTGGGTAAGGACTTGTGAAATATTACCAAAGGTTCAAATACATCTCCTCTTATCTGACATATCGGTGATACGTCCTCTCTGCATTGTGGTTTCCCTGATCTTGTATTTCAATTCGCAAACACTCTTCCTGAAGTGATATGAATCCTGCCTGGAGGCATTATCACATAACCTTGTCCACAAGGGGAAAAGCAGGTCGTGTGTGTGTGTGTGAGAGAGACGAAGTGTGTGTGCACTCATGCATGCATCCATGTGTGATTTACAACCGTGTGAGCAAACTGCCAATGGGTGCAGACAGCAGTGGGGGAGAGAGGGGTTAGTCTGGCTTACCGAAGATATTAGTGGAATGTCCCTTCTTGGCGAGAGGCTTCAGCTCGTTGTGTCCCCATCCGTACTGTCTGTAGCTGTCCCACGCATGCTTCATCATCTGAGAGAGGAGAACGACAGCATAAACGGCATGTCAGACATATATGGAGTCTCCTGACTCGGCAAATACAACATCCTGCAGCTCACACGAGTGTACATCCAGACGATGGCTCGGTGAAGATGGCGGGATAACGATGTCTAAAATTTGCATCGTAATCATGCTTAACGTTGATATAATTAGGATTTTGGTATAATGTGATTTCAGTTCCAACAGATGTTCAAGCTGTCACTAAACACCAGTTAAGAAACCAACAAAAAATATACACTGCAGAACAAAAAACAATTACATCATTTTGTTTCTTAATCGTCAAGATGAATCACATTTATTATATGGTTGCAGATTCTTGCCAAATAGACCAGATATTAGAGACAGAGAGGCAAAGCCCCGCCCCTTTTTGGTGGAAAATATGACGTAGTCAATGGCGAGAGACAAATGATTATTTAATCCTGTTTGAAAAGTGCCATAATTTACACATATGTTTGTCAATTTAAAACATAATTCCTCACGTCAAGAAAGTCTCATTTTTTGACGTAAAACTGTTGAAGATGTTGACGGTGAAAATACGTTATTAGAAAGACTAAACACCTAAAAAATCCTGTAAGTGACGTCTCTCACTGAAGCTACGATGTCTGTGTGTTTAGTACCAGGATGAACTCACACCAACAACAGGGTCTCACTCGTTCTCTCTCTTTCCGGCTGATAAAAGGAGTCGCTGGATAAAACACATCAGTTAAGAGAACGTTACATCTGTGCGTGGAACATAGCTACGTTAGCTAGCAAGCCAAGCTAACGGCCATGTTAGTGACGTTCATTGTGCGAGACGTAGTTCACACAACACTAAATGGTACTACGAAAAACCTACAACCAATAATCTCTTTTTAATTGACAAACATCATACGTGTAATTCATGTCACAATTGGTCAAAAACATATTGAATACATAAAACCATTAACCATTGCTGGTAAAAGAAGAAAGACCTCTTCTGTTCGAAAGCAACTTATTTTGATGGACTTTGCTTTCTTTCAACATAATAAACTGATTGGTACCTCAGGGCAGAGCTATTAATCAATCAATCATCAATAAACTGCTACATGTCTTGCACACACATGATCATGTAAAATGAAGTAAACTGAACTAATAAATGTTGGAAAGTGAAGACTAAAGACTCAGAATCACGGGAGGTTTAGCAGCGCTGAGGGAGGACATGACCCCAAAGACACTGGAAAATGCCAGTGAATCAAAGTGTGTGAATGTAAAGTCTGCCTTCTACACTAAACAGCAAGTCTATCTCACACACACACACACACACACACACACACACACACAAGCACACATGTAGGCATGACAATGACCCATTTAACACAAAGTGAGGATATCTTTTGGAGCTGCCTCTTTGTATTTTGTTTTAGAGCATTATTCTGTGTCTGCAGACATGTGTCTGCCGGATAGAACTAAAATCTATTCTTCAGACGAGGCTGAGAGAGAGCGGCTCGGGGAGGAGGAGGAGGAGGAGATTGTGAGATGAGCCCCGACACGGAGGCTGATGCTGAGAAGAGGCGCTGCAGGGCAAACAGAGAAGATGACACAGCCGAGGAAAGGAAAGACTGCCAGCTCTTACTGAAGCACTGCTGCTCTCTTTCAATTTCAAAACCCTGTTTCATTCCTCCTCCACAGTGCTTTCTTCAAATTGCATGGACAACCTCAGAGAAGTACATTTCCTTTCTGTGTGGTGGTGTCAGTCACTGTCTGGTTTTATGGATATCTGTTGATTCCCTTCTCTATATACAGGCCGTCCACTTGGCAGCGTTCCTATCCGTCCATCTGCCGGCCTCTCTGTCTCTACATGGCAGCTTGTCACTTCATTTCTATGCTGACCTTGATGATGGTGACTAAGTTGGCACCGATGGCCCGCATCCCGCAGCACACAGTTGTTCTTATTGTGCTCATTCTGTTGTATTTAAAGTCACTACGAGGATCCTTTATTCTGTGTTGATTCTGGCGGTCCCTGTGGACTAAAGTGGTAGTGTTTCTGAGCACCAGAGTCTGGAGGATCTGGGTCTGTCCACGGTGGACCGGTCTCTGCTGGAGGATTGCTGGAGCATTGCTGGAGCTCAGTATAAGATAAATGGTGTTCGTGCTGCACCAGGCCGCAGAGGAGAGCTTAAACAAGCCATCAGCGCACACACAGCTAGTGCGCCGTATCACACACACACACACACACCAGGAAGTGGCTGATCAGCCTCCTTGGATGTCACTCCTCCCATGCCATGCCTGTTTCCCTACCATGCCAGCGTGTAGCTAACTGCTGCCTCTCGATGCCGCCATGTGAGGATTAGCATCCAGATCCTCGTCTCCTTGGAGCAGGCAGGCGGCCAAGCTAATAAAGACGAGGGCCAGGAGCCTCATTGTGTTCCTGGCCCTCGTGGCTTTTCCATGACGCACGCACGCACGCACGCACGCACGCACGCACGCACGCACGCACG